ACGCTGGGCGCGTGTGCGTGCGTGCCCAAGATCCCGAGAGGAGAACGGAGGAGAAGGAATTGCGGCGTGGCCATCCCCCCTGGGGGGTAATTTCTCACTTTCTGTCTCTCTGTCTCTCTCTGTCTGTCTGGCGAGCGCACGCGCCCTATAGCAAAAACCTCTCCAAAAAAAAAAAAAAGACTATATACTATATGGTTACATTTATACAACATTCTAGAATAGGCAAAACTAAAGGGACAGAGAACAGATCTGTGGCTGCCAAAGGCTAGAGGTGGAGGAAGAGTTGACTATAAAGGGACATGGGGTATGAAAGATTACTGAAGATGGTGGAACTGTTCTATGTTGTTTCTTTGATTGATACATAATAACTGTACATGTTTATGAAGTGCAGTTTAATGTTTTCATACATACATATCTTGACTATTGTGAATGATAGTATATATACTATCATTATATATATATATATATATATGTGTGTGTGTATGTATATACCATACCATGTTTATTGCAGCATCATTCTAAATGTGTGTACACACACACACACACACACACACACACATACACACACACAAATACACATTGATATTATGTCTTCTGGATGTATACCCAGTAGTAGAATTGCTAGATTATACCATAGTCCTATTTCTATTTTCTTGAGGAATCTCCATACTGTTCTCCATAAAAGCTAAACTAACTTACAGTTTCTTTTTTTTACTGTTTGTTTATTTAAATTTATTTATTTACATTCATTCACTATACATCATTACAATATACAAAATGAGATTTCCCATCCAGAATACACTGTATATTGGCTCAATCGAGCACATCAACAGATGTGTTATCGTCAACAAATAATTTTCCATTTCTTGTTTCCTGTATATTTTGCTTTTTCTGCCATCCTTGATTCCCTATCTCTCACCCTCTGCCGTGTCCCACCCTCCTCCCACACTGTCTCTAGTATCCATGAATGCTTTCTATGCCTTACCCCCATTTTATTGATTTGCTAATGAACTTAATCTAAATATTTCCAATATACATATCCACGAACACAAGTCTGACTTTAGGCATAAACCTCAGTGAGTAGAATGAGCGTACTATAAAGCTGGGGCTATATAGCTTACTGCAGTCATCAAATAAGCATTGTTTTTAATTTTAAGAAAAACAGTTTTTATGGGTTTTTTTCCCCTCTTGAAACTTTTTTTAATTAATTTACATTCATCACCTAAGCATTGTCACAGCATACAAAATGTGGTTTCCCATCCAGAATATACTGCATAGTGGCTTAATCATACATGTTATCAATAATTTTCCATTTGTAGTTTTTTTTTATATTTGTATAAATATATATTTATCCCTAAGTCTGACCCTCTGCCCTTTCCTACCCTCTTCTCACACTGTCTCTGGTGTCTACAGTTGTCTTCCATTCCTTCTCCTCCCACATTTTATTGATAACACAATGTCTTAAATAATCTAACTACTTTCAATAGCAAGTTCAGCTGATAATTTCAAGAAAAGCAGTTTTTAATTGGTAAGGAAATTTGCTTAAAACTTAAAGCCTGGAAATAGGTTAGTATTCGGTTCAACTAGTAGGTACATGAACCTATCGACAGCTCAAGACAGGACAAAGACTTAAAACCAGACAACAAAGCCTAGAAGAAAAGCAGCAATATTTTAGTCAAAAGTCACAGAATGTGGGACCAGCAGATAGCGTAATGGCTATGTCACTGGACTCCCACGTAGTCGACCGTGCTTCACGTCCCGGACCCGGTGGCTTAAAACTCACGCCGGGCGCATGTGCATGTGTGCCCAAGATCCCGAGAGGAGAATGGAGGAGAAGGGATTGCAGCGTGGCCATCCCCCCGGGGGGTGATTTCTCGCTTTCTATCTCTCTGTCTCTCTCTGTCTGTCTGGCGAGTGCACGCACCCTAAAGCAAAAATCTCTCCAAAAAAAGAAAAAAGTCACAGAATGCTATTTAACCAGTTCCGTCTCATGTACTTAATCTAACTTCTGTCGTGATTCGATCTTCCCTGTTGAATTCTGCGATATAATATTCAACTCCAGACTTGTTCCTATGATTAAGTTGACAATTTCCTTAGTTTTTGAACTCTTATTTCTGTGTGTTTGCATTAAATTTTCCTGACATAGCACTCCATTGAGAACTTCTTGGAGATCTGGTCTGGTGTTGGTAAATTCTTTCAGGTTTTGTTTATCTAAGAATGTTCTTGTCTTTTCTTCCCATATGAAGGATAATCTTGCCAGGTACAATATTCTTGGTTGAAATTGCTTTTCCCTGAACACTTTGAATGTATTTTCCCATTCTTTCCTTGCTCGCATTGTTTCTGATGAGAGGTCTGCTATTAGTCTGACGGGATATCCTTTGTAACTTGGCGTTTCTCTCTTGCCAATCTTAGTATCTTGTCTTTGACTGTAGTTTTGGTCAGTGTGGCTATAATGTGTCTTGAAAAAGATCTTCTTGGGTTGATTCTATTTGGAATAAATTTAACCAAGGAGGTAAAAGATCTCTACAATGAAACCTATAAAACATTGATGAAAGGAACTGAGGGGGACACAAGTAAATGAGAAGGAAGCCATCCTGTATTCATAGATTGGAAGAACTAATATTGTTAAAATATCCTTCCTACCCAAACTAATTTACATATGCAATGCAATTCTTTCCAAACTACCAATGACAGGGACTGGTTGGTGGTACAGTGGTAAAATGTGATGTTCTGTAAAACACCCACAACAAACAAAAACAGTCAATAGAGAAGAGGCAATCTACAGAATGGGTACACTGTTTTATATCTTGATTGTGGCAGTAGTTATACCATGTACTTGTCAAAAATCATAGAACTATACACTAAACAGAGTAATTTTATTGTATATATTTTGCTTCTCAAAGACATTTAAAAATTAAAAAAGCAGTACATCATAAAATAACTATTTGTTTCATCCAAAAATACCATTAAGAGAGTAAAGAGATAAGCCACTGACTGGTAGAAAATTAAAAGAAATAGGCCATGTATATGGAATAAGTGACAGACATACAGATCAATAATTAAAAAGCAAACAACCCAATAGAAAAGTAGGCAAAAGACTTGAGTATAAATTTTACAAAAGATATCAGAATATACTCAACATTTTTATTCTAAATGCAAATAAAAGCCATAATGAGATACCACTATTCAGTATTCAGATTAACTAAAATTACAGATTGGCAATACCAATGTTAATGAAGATGCAAAGCAATTGAAACGGCTGTAGATTTGTATAACCACTTTGAAAAATTATTTAGTGGTATTTACTTGAGCCGAACACACCTGAGCCTTATGATCCAGCAATTCTGCTCCTGTGTATCTATACCATGGAAAGGAGTGCATATGTCCTTCAAAAGACATGTTCAAGAATGTTTATAACTCCATTATCACAACAGAAAAACCTGGAAGCAATTCAAATTCCCATTAAAAGGAAAACACAAATAAATGGTGGTATATATATACAATGAAATACGATATAATACTAAAGAGCAAATGACTGTACCATGCAACAGGGATAAAACAGGTATGATGGATGTGAGAAGTAAAAAGGAGTCTAGATTATATGATTTGATTTATGTGAAGTTCAAGAATAGAGAAAATTCATTTATGGTGATGAAATCAGAATAATGATTACAGGAGGGACAGCATTTACTCAGAACAAACATGAGGGAACCTTCTGAGCTGCAGGAAACATTCTATAATATTGATCTTCACTGTGCTTACTTGTGGGCCTATCTGGTTAAAACTTCATGCAGCAGCACACTTAAGTACTGTGCATTTTACTGCATGTTATGTTTACCTTAATGTAATGTAACACAACAAAACTATTACTACAGCATAACTCCAGAACTAATGTTAGTGTGTGCAAAATTAATATAAAAGAAGTAGGAGTACAAAGACTTATCATGGCCCTTGACCCCTGTGTTTCTTGTCAGGTTGCAGATGGAGAAGCATGCATTAACTGTGCTGCCCATGATAGATCAGCCTTGGTGTCTTCTATTCCTTTGTAGTCCCAAGCTTATGCAATGTCAAAAGAAATACCTTCAAAAAAAAAAGTGAAGCAGGCAACTTTTCTCCCTATATTTTAAAACAGAGATGTTTATTTTATGCTATTAATTACTATAGTGTAACATCTCTCAGGTTATTTTTTTCTATCAAGTGGATAAAATTCTGGTTGCATTGTCCTTCTCCTACTATATCATATATCGATAAAGATCTGTGCATGTTACTGTATGCATGCTGTACCTCAACAAAGTTTGCTCTTAAAGGCCCCTGCCAGCACTACTGGGAGGCCACACCCATATAAGGGCTTCCAGGACTCATGCGCCCATGTCTGGGACACCCTCTTACGTTCAATTCTGCCACAGCAACAGCTCTTGTAAATTTCTCTGTGAGATCAGACATCAGCTCTCAATCTCTCCAACTACAGGGATTACCTACAAGGTCCTCCAAGCCATCCACAAGGCCATTTACTGGGTCTAAGAAGGAGGAAAACTCCAACCACTCCCGATCACTTTGTTGAGAGTTCACACACAGTCCAGCAAGTTCGCCTTAATATATATCCGCACAAGTCCTCTCCCCTTTTCATTTGACCTTTCTTTTTTAAAACGGGAAGTTCAACCATCTTTGAATCAGCACTGAAGGGTTATTTAATAAGCACACCCTACATTTTTGTCCAATGCTTCACTGTGATATGCAACATCCATGGTTGATTTTGGATGCCTCAATCAAAACTTCAATATTAACATCCTATTATAGTAACTTTAGGTTGAATCATATAAAATTGTTGACTATTATTGTCCTAAAAGAACTGTAATTTCATATGATTCAAACTAACAGTTTTATTCAAAACAGGCCTTTTGGAGAATCTGAACTTAAGTTGGGTTTGAACAAAAGGGTAAAGTGGATTCTTAAATGAATACCCAGGCACACACTCAAATGCCTTCAGTGAATCATCTCACCTTGGCTTTCAAATCAGCACACAACTCCTGTTGCTTTCTTCTGTCTCTAGCCAATGTGCCCTCTGCTTCATGAGCTATGCAGGCCTCTGTGAGGGTCAGCACAGCCTTCTGTATAAAGTCTCTCCTGTTCTTATTCCAATTTGATATCAGGACCCTTCGCTGCTCTCTAGCAAAGCGATATTGATCCCAATATTTCTCGTGTTCAACCTGAAAAGATAACAAATGACAAACACTTATCACTTTGAAAATGAACTTATTTTATGTCATTGTTAAAAAATAAAATAAAATAAAATTGGTTATAGCCAATGATTTTGAAACACTGGAGACTAATACCTTAAGAGTAAATATACCAACCAGGAACTAGATACCAGCTCCAGAGTTCTATACCTGTGGCTAACTGGTAACTGAGGACAGTCATTTAATGTTAATAAGTTCTGAGCTTCCTCTTATAGAAGTCAGACCAGATGACCTCTAAAACAACTTTCACTTCTAAGTGGTAATAATTCTATGAGCAGAAAGTATTATCTCCCCTTCATCTCCCCTTCATATTATTTATTACTCTGTCTTTAAATCAGTTGCGGGTTTTGTTGTTAGTTTACTCATGACGGAGAGTACATGCACACACATGCAAGCGAGACAGATAGAGAGGCACCACCAGTAGAGTCAGGTTAGGCCATGATCCCCTTTTCTCAGCTCTCCAGCGTGTTAGAGCTTGAGCAAGTGTGCACACAACCAGTGTGTTTCAGGTGGACCGGGCTGAGGGTCCAAACCTCAGGCTGGCCGTGTGGATTCCAGTGCTTTACTTCAGTATGCTGCCAGCTGCACCACCACGGCTGGGCCCAGTAGTGATATCAAGTGTTTCAGATAGACAACATGCTAATAAGCATAAAAATTGCTACAATAATCCTGAAAACTCAGTTTTGCCCGTAATTACTGAAATGCTCAGATGTTAGGATGAGTGAAGTTAAAGTAATTACAGCAATGACTCTGAGCCCTCCCAACTCCCCACTGCTTAGGGATGTGACATTCTCACATCGGCAGCCGTGGCTCCTTCTGGCAGTGAATCTCAACCAGGGGAAGTATCAGGGACTTGGGGGAACAGGAAGGGGGAGAACACAAGCAGTCAGAAAATTCTCGGCAGCTGATTCGGAAATGTTCCTCATGTAAAGGTATGTCTTCTGAAGTCGAGAGTCACTGATCTAAATTATTTTTTATTTTGCTACTAAAGACTGTACCCCTCAATTTGATACATTATTTAATCCCTAAGTCATGTGAGAAAAGAAGCTAGCAAGCAGGATAAGGGAGGTCCCACTTAGAATAATACCTTAGCTATGGTTTATTAGGTACACAATAAACAGAATATGATATCACTTAAACCAAGTGTTAGAAACTAAAATCTGTTCTGTAAACTTCTTAGCTTTAGTCCATAAAGCCAAAAATATGCTTAACATCTGTCAAATATTAAGAAAGCATATACCATGCAGAAATGCATACTAATCAGTGCAACGTAAAAAGAAAATGTAAGGGGCTGGACACGGGTGCAGCCGTAAAACTCGCTCTGCAAGACAGCCCCACATGGGAAGGCTGCCAGTTCACATGCCAAGACCTCTCTGAGTATCCAGAGCACAACTATGCCCAAGAGCCAGGCTAGCTGAAGCAGGCGTGGATCATAGCATTAACACTCTCTTGGGAGTGCTGTATCACTCTTTGTTTCTCACTCATGGAATAAACTTTTTTAAAAAGTAAACATAACAATCTTTATAGGTCAAGAGTGGCAAAATAGGAAACCAGCGGTTAGCATAATGGCTATGTCACTGGACTCCCACTTAGTCGACTGCAGTTTGCATCCCAGACCCGGTGGCTTAAAACTCACACCGGGCGCGTGTGCGTGTGTGCCCAAGATCGCAAGAGGAGAATGGAGGAGAAGGGATTGTGGCATGACCATCCCCCCTGGGAGGTGATTTCTCACTTTCTGTCTCTATGTCCCTCTCTGTCTGTCTGGCGAGTGCACATGCCTTATAGCAAAAACCTCTCAAAAAAAAAAAAAAAAAAAAGAGTGGCAAAATATAAAACTCTACAAAGGTAAAAATGACAGCTGGTCTCAGAAGTCATCGGAATCACGAGGAAATAAAAAGATCAAATTTAATAAATTAAATTTTCATTTTAAAAAATTCAGAGTTTATTCCTGTCCTGTCCAAGAAAAAAATAGCTTGTGTAGTGGTATGCTCCTGTAGTCCCAACTGGGAGGCAGAGGCAAGAGAATCCCATCTTTAAAATAAAAAATAAAATAAAATAGAAATAAAGAACCAAACAGTAATTTTCAAGTGTCTTGCAAGGCAAATAGCAGTGGGTGTTTGGGCTCTAAACTGGGCCCATCTGTCTTACAGCCCTTCTAGCAGAGTTCCAGCAGAGGGCTGGTGGAGTGCAGCTAGGGTGGGGTTGCAAGAACTGAGGTGGGGCAGGCTCTGTGGATGAAGTAGCAGACACTCCACTTTCAAGCAAGACTCAGAGACAGCAGGGGAGTGGGTGACCAACTGTACAGACACCTGGGATCAAATGCAAGCAGAGCAGTCCTAGGAGGCATAGTGGAGATCTCTGTAGCAAAAAGGAACCGGATGGGTCTGTGATGCCAGAGAAATCCTCCACCCTCTTGTGGACTGCACATACTTGAAAAACGACTCACCCAAACTTTCAACCTATAGCTCTATTATTTTCTTTTAGGGAAAATATTTTTTGGAGCACCATTTACAATATGTATCTTGTGGGCCAGCAGATGTCATGGACGTTCAGGTGGCTGGATCTCACATGGCTGACTGCATGGTTCCAGTCCTAGACTTAGCAGCTAGAAACACACATGGCTTGAAAAGCACTCTGAGCCCATGTGAATGCATGCCCAAAATCCCAAGAGGAGAATGGAGGAGAAGGGATTGCAACAAAACTATCCTCCTGATGGAGTGCTTTCTCACACTCTCTCTCTGTCACTCTCTCCCCAATTTCCCTCTCCCTCCCCTCTTTCTCTCTCCCTTCCTCTCTCCAGCATCTTATACCCTATAGAAAAAAATAATAAACTAAAAAAATTGCTTAACAATTATATTTTCTTTCTTTTTTTTTTTTTGAGAGGTTTTTGCTATAGGGTGCGTGTACTTGCCAGACAGACAGAGAGAGATAGAGAGATAGTAAGTGAGAAATCACCACCTAGGGGGGATGGCCATGCCGCAATCCCTTCTCCTCCATTCTCCTCTCGGGATCTTGGGCACACACACACATGCGCCCGGCGTGAGTTTAAGCCACCGGGTTTGGGACACGAACTGCAGTTGACTACATAGGACTCCAGCGACATAGCCATTTCGCTAACTGCTGGTCCCCGACAATTATAGAAAAATAAAACAAGTGAATTTGTCAGTGTGTATGTAATAGGCTCCAGCACTCACCAAATCATGCCTGGATTTGTGAGGGAGATATCTTTGCAACATGTCTAGGTACAGTGTCCTTCTGCCAGCGAGATATCCAGGATACTGATCCAAAACAGCCTGATAAATCCAGCGGTCTTCTTCACTTAACTGGAAGTTTCTGAAAGCAATAATAATGTTATAACATATGTTAAGCAACCGTGCTGTTTGACAGACTTCAAACTGTTCGAGTTCTAAGCAAATGATAATAATTACATAGAATGAGATTTGTGTGTGTGTGTGTGTGTGTGTGTGTGTGTGTTATTTAATATAGTAGTCAAATTTAATATCTGTTACAAAAAAGGTTTTAAATTCTAATACAAATCTAATACTTTATTTTGTCTTGCCATGAGTTTCAGTCATAATCTGAAGAACTTTTCAAGACATAATATTTTAGAAAATATTTATTCTATGTTACCTATAACAATATTTTTAAAATCATGATCAATGAATGAAATAAAAAAAGCTTTGGAGAATAAATAAGCAACATATAGATTAAAAATAGAATTTTACTTATTTAACAAAGTTCCCCACGTCTAGGCTGGAGGGATATACAAATAGAAACAGTTAAATGGACATTTACAGAAAGAAAAATATAGACAGGCTCTGGAAAGAACTTACTTACGACCTGAATTTAAAGGTAAGCCTAAAATTATCTTTTACTTTATCTTGTTTATTTCTTGCTTCATGAGGATAATGCTGGATATTGGTATCATGGCATTGGATTTCAGATAACTGAATATATCATTTGCAAATAGGATCCCTTCAAGTCACTTTCCCAATAACATGTCCACTCTTCTTTAAAATGTCTAGCTGGTTTCTGTATCCTCCTAGATGCCAGACTGTTTTGTATTCTATACCAAGTATTGGCAATGTCTTATGCAGAGTAAAAGGTTGCAATATCAACTTGAACTCTAAACTGAGTTAATGTCATTTTATATTCCAAGTTTATTTGCATGTTATTATTCCTCCTTAATAAATTAGAATAATCAAATATAGATGTAATCAAAGGGATTATTATTAGAAATGAGTATCTCTTTGATCCAAGATGGAGACTTGCCATTGTTTATTTCTACTAGATTAATGGTCTTACACTTTAAAGTTAATTGTGCAATTCAAAGAATTTTTCATATGTCTCCTATGCCCCTGAAAAACTTTTGACAATTGAAAATAGAATAAATTACCTTTAAATTAGTGGCACTAATGGGAATTCCACTGTTTCATACATGGTTACCTAGTTTCTGTAAGGCATTTCATTGTTTTGGTAAGTAGCAAGAAAGAGAAAAAATATTTTTCAAAGAAAATCCTCTTTGCCTACTTAATAATGGGAAGAAAAAGAATTGGAGGTATTCTATCAGGAAGAAGAAAACTACACAGTCTTTCTGTATGACATGATATCTATTACAAAGAAAGAATTCGAGATGAATCGGTGCATTGAACACTCAAGTATTTGGGTCCTACCTGAACCAGTTAGACAAAGGCTTCTGCAAATAAGGCATTTCAAACAGGAGTATTAAGCCAGGACAAAGACTTGCCTGAGTGTATTTGGTATTTTAAACCCTCTGGTTTTTATTGACAACATCTTAGGCCCTCTCTAGAGGAACCTATTTCCATTCATGTTACCATTCTAATAGCGGAGTTAGCCACAGAAATTCTCTAGTACTACATCACTAGCAACATAAAAGAGTAGAACTAAAACACACATACTCTTTAATCTCTTTAACTTGTTTCTACAATCAAAGGGTCTTGAGCATGGTTTGAATTTCCACCTTTATTTGATTACAAATGTGAATATGTGGGTGTGTACATCCTAGGGAGAGAGAAATGGAAGAATTTATGCCCAATAAGTTCTCTGTTCTTTTAAATTGTCATTCATCTATATAATGAATGTTGGTGCCACGCCCAGGTTGCCTTTATTAGATGGACTTCCCATTACCAAGATGTAATTTTGGCTCACAACTCACAGATGCTCCTCCCTTTGGAAAAGTGCCCCTGGGTCAACTGGGAACCGCCTCTCCAGGAGGCTACCCTCACAGCCTCTTTCCAAGGCCTGCCACAAGCAGTGACTCACCGGCTTGAGGTACCAGAAGGCTAGCCCACTTGCCTCCTGAGGAGACCGACTCTGGAAACCCTTTGCACTCCAAGGTCTCACCATGGACACAAATTATGGCCAGCCTCCACCAAAGACCCCTCGTTTAGATGCTTTCCCTCTCTGATTCTGCTTCCTTCACCTCTCTTCTCCTAAGAGCACCCCCAACTACTCACTTGTTCTAGGAATTCCTGTCTCAGCTTTGTTACTGCAGAACCCAACCTAAAATAATCTACAAGCAACTGTACCCACAATTTTCAACGATAGTTTAACTCTTTGGTGAATGCAGAAGAACTTTAAATGAATTGCTTTGATGATCTTTCTTACTGAATGGTGGTACAGAACTGTGGCTGTCCTCAAAGAGAAAGTGCAAATGGCAGACATTTACAAAAATGCTTTTCAAATAGAAGCATGCATTACTGTAAAAGTCTACATTGCTATAAACAAAGATAGCAGTAGGAGAATTTGTGGCTCTCAGTGCATTTTTACACATTGTGTGAATATATTAATTAGGTGCCACTTTAAAGACATTAAAACCCTTAAACATATGAAGTAATTATAAAACATTAAAACCAGATATCTCAAACCAAGTATTTCATGAACAGTGATTGTATCTGTTTTGATCTTCAAGTTGATTTTAAAAGCCTCACTTCCCAATAGCTTTTTCTTGTTACCACAATTATGTAAAGTATAAGTCATTCATCCATTACATGTAGAATAAAAATGAGAAAAAAGCTTAAAGGAGATGATATACAAATACTCACAATATTATTATTTTTAGAGTATTTATAGCAGTTCCCAGAGCAGCAGGCTTAAATCTTGAGGCAAATATTCACATCAGCAACAATAATAGCATGGTCATACATCTCCACAAGAATGCTGTTTGTGAAGCAAGGAGAAAATTTCCACCACTATATACACTACATACAGAAAGAGCCTTTGGATAGTAGAAAGTATAAAAGGAATATTCAAATAGCCTCTTTGCAATAACAACGTAGACATTTTCTACACACATTACTTTTTACCCTCCAAAATAAAATCACATTTAATATATCTGCATTTCGGGCTGACTCTGCAATGTAGTGGTAATCACTGATCAAGAGAAACTGGAGCTGGCTCGGTGGCCTGGTGGTTAAAGCAGCTGGATCACACACGGCCAGCCAAGTGGTTTGAGTCTTACACTCGGTGGCTTGAGAAACATTCTGGGCACATGTGCACGTGTGCCCATATCCTCAAGTGCGCGAGAAGCAGAGGAGAAAGGATTGCAGCATGACCATTCCTTATAAGGGTTGCTTTCTCCTCTTCCTCTTTCTCTCTTTCTGGTGAACACAAGATCCTCTAACAAAGAAGTAAGTTAAAAAAGAGAAGCTGAATCCCCCATGGCTGGCAGTGGTTCCAATATCCAGCAGTGTTAGCCTGGAACATGCCAGCCATATGTAGGAGTGTGGAGAACTGGAGGGGAGGAGCAAGAGGTGATCAGACCTATGGAGGATACTCCTGTCTCAAGCTTTTTCTCACTCTCAAGTGCTCTTTATTTTTCTTTATGAATAAAGAAAAAAATCAAATATATGTATATCTGCATTTCTAAATTTAAATCTGGACATGTATCTTTCCTACACCCACTTTGTATGGAAAAATCCCTTTATAAAATAGCTGAGACTAATATTAGCTTTACCTTTTGATGTTCTTGTGTAACTTAACTGTTTGGCTGGTGATTATGAGGATAGAACGAGCGAAATTATGCAGATAGTGAAAATATTCTGATCTCTTACCTGCTTTTCTGATTTGTACAATGACTTTATAATTAATTTTTTCAGAATTAATTCTATTTATTTATTATTATTATTATTTTAATTTGCTATAGGGCACATATGCTCACCAGAGAGAGAGACAGAGAGAGAGGAAGTGAGAAGTGAGAAAGCAAACCATCAGCTCAGGGACTCAAACTGTGGTCAACTATGTAAGAGTCCACCTTCTGGCCTCTTAAAGAAAATTGAAAAGAAACATTGCAATTATCTTAAACTTCGGTAGTTTAAAAAATATCTTTAGGGGCCAGCAGATAGTGTGGTGGTTAAAGTGCTAGATGACTACATGGCCGACTATGTTTAAGTCCCAGACCTAGCAGCTTGAAAATCATGAAGGGGTGTATATGCAAGAATACCCCAAATCCCAAGAAGAGAGAACAGAGGAGAAGAGATTGTGGCATTTGTAATTTCTCACTTCCTCTCTCTCTGTCTCTCTTCCTCTCTCCAGGGAGCACATGTGCCCTGTGTCAAAAACCTTAAAAAAAGTCTTTAGACAAAAAAAAAAAAAAAAGAACACACAACTCTGCTATTTCTATTCTTTTTGTCCATTCAGATTTTCTAATTTAAGTGCTTTATCATAGCACACCAAGATTTTACAGTTTGCAGATTTACTGAACACTTCTACCACATGGGGAAATCTCCACCTGCAGAGGGATGAGATGTTTAGCAGTCGATCTGCACTCACCGTGGCCCACCCATAAATATCAACGTCCATACATGTCATTGCATTGAAATTCCCAGGAAGTAAGATAAAATAGGTAACTCAGAAAGCAAGGACGATGGTGCTGTGAAAAGTCAAGCTCATCCTGGCCAATGAGCGCCCTAATTCTACCTCCTCCCTAGTCGTTCCAAAAATCCTAAATTGACTCACAGTTGGCTACTAGTTTTCATTATAGACATATTGTTTGAAACACTTCCTGCACCGTCTGGTTCCACGGCATCAAAATACATTTGGGAGTGGGGAGGGAGATTGGTAGCAAATAAGATACAAAAGCATAACAAGTACTTAAATGAGTAAGTCTATGAAGTGTGTTTACAAGCTAGCTGAAAGCTGTTTGATATTTTCTCAGAGTGCAGGGAGTTTTCCAAGCAAAATGGTAATTAGTGGGTCCTGAAGTTAGCTGATAGTTTTCAGCATCTGACATTGGCAAATGACCATAGTGAAACTGGCTTAAAGAAAAATTCTTATCTCTTAAAGTGTAACAGTGTTGGGGACATCTAGTGCTC